GAAAGTAGCCCTTAGAACAAATCAATACAATATGCCAGCTCAACTGATATTTAATATGACATTTTGAAGCATGTGAATTGCATGAAGATATCTTTGGGATAAGATGTAGACCTCTCAATACTTTATGATCGTGAATAGTTATTTATATAGATTTGTTCAGTACAATCTTTATAGTTTTATGGGAATATATACAATGATCTATGTATGTCGAAAAGTTTCGAATTTAATATTGAAATTCCATTCGACTACTTTGATTTGTGTCCATAGAAAAAAATGACATTGTAAACCTAAATTGCTAGTAGTAAACATCACAATTCCCACAATTTTAGTGGTGTAAGGGAGATAAAAATAGGGGACGAATGGGGGGAATTTCGCAAATGGACCAAATTCATGGTCGAGCTGGATCACCGAAAATGTCGAGTGTAATTCGAAGGCCCGTTTCGAACGATAATCTTAAAGGAGGCGTTTTAGAAGTAATCTTATCTAGAAGATTCTTTGGCTTAAAAGGCACGCTGTTCAAAGATACGAACGTCGTGAGACCGATCTCGTGACAAACAAATAGTCCATCGAGTAGGAATTTTGAATAATCTCATTATTTAAGGAAAATATATCCCATAACAATAGCAGTCTACCCCTTTGGGAGGGTGGACTCAAGCCTATCTATTTTGTTTTTCTTTTCTTCTTTTTATGTTTCTCTTTTCCGATTTTGTCACAAAAAATCCTAATTTTTTGCAGGGGTGCTGCCCCCGTAACCTAAAAAAATTAAGTCCATCCTGTAATACATTCCTGGACTCGCCACTGCCCATAACTAAGGAAGATGGAAGATCTACCAACGGTGGACTTAGAACAACTACCCTAATCTTATATATCGGTTTGGTGAAGAGGAGTATGACCCCGAGCTTAGGGGGCACGCTATACTTCGAGGATCTTCTCCGACGGACAATTGAGATAGGTTATTAAAAAAACTTGACCGCGTACTAAGTCATGCGATCGAGGACGATCGACAAAAACACACGACGACCAGATGATCATTCTTCTTCGTTTTAGTTGGTTCAAAAAAATTTTAATTTTTCACACATCCAATTATTATTTCCCATGATTTAATATATAGTCTCTAACCTACCATTATTTTAGAACCCGAGCTAAAAATTCCTCATCGTTCCCTTTTCTTCTTTAAGATCGATGAAACATTGAGTACGATAAATTGTAGTGGTGGGCCCCACACAATCGTTTAACATGGGCCACGTGGAAACAAATCGTGAAGAATAAAAGTACAATTGGGCCCACAAATAATTAATGCTTTACCTACAATCAACCCAATAACTGTTAGTCGTTTGTAATTTTAATAAATAAAAAATGATAAATAAATCACAATTTTTAGTAAATGCAATATATTTTTATTTAAAAAATAAAAATATAATTGAAAAATATTATTTTTGTCTAAAGTTTCGCATCGTTAATAAATAAATAACATGAATTTATTAGATTTGCAATTTCTTCGTCGTTTTTTGGACATGAATTGGACACACGATGATTATAGTCGCGTTTGGAACGTGTATATATATATATATTCCTAAATAACCCATTAAAAAACTTGAATTCTACCTAAAAAATTAAAGTGTCGACATAACATATCGAATTTGGATCGTTAGATGTCTGTTTTCCTGCTCGGCCAACTAATTAGGTCATTTAACGAAATGGTCCCTTCGTAACCAGTTATCGATAATACCAAATAAATAATTTTCATTTTTCAGAGGTTTTAGTTGGCATAAATAATTTTCTCCGACATTGGTGAATTTCATATTTGTATTTATATGGGAAAGGGGAGAAACATATATTATTTCACTTAATGTGGACAATTTCATAAAATTAAAGAGTTTTGGGCCCACCTTTTAATTGAGATACCAATGGCGTGCCGCGTGCATGATATTAGCTGGCATCAGTAGACAGTAGTTATAAAACATAAAATAAAATAAAATAAATAATTATTATATATATTATGAGCTCTCCATGTGATTTTCATTTAGTACACGTCCCCACAGAAAAGTTGCTAAAATATGTATGTATTTATATTTTTTCTATTAAAAATTAAAAAAAAATTATTAGTATTATTTTATAGGGATAGTTTGACAAAACTCCCTCATTACGCAAGTCTCATTACAATAAGCCCAATTTTATTTTTACATTTTTAAGATAAATTTCAAAAACAACTTTTATTAATTAATAACACTTAATTATCACCATTGTACCGGGCCCTAACTAAGAAATAATCTATATTTAAATTATAATTAAAAGATATATAATATATTTTACATATATTATATACGTATCTCTATCTCTCTTGCACACACGCGCACACACACACACACACAACACAACACATTGCACACACACACAACA